GTACGCATTACAAACCGAACGATTTGTTGGACTAATCCTATTACAGCATATTATCCTATTAGATTAGACTAGTGTGAGTGCGCACAGAGAGTGCATTCTTTCACTGTATGATTCAGTCTATTAAAAAGCATTTAGAATGATCACAAAATTCAAGATATGGGGGCAGAAAATGTATATATTTACATAATTTCATATAGTTTTTCAATAACACAGAAGAGTGCCGTTTTTTTCTCTCCAAAAATCAGCATGATTACAAGTGATTTTTACAACAGTTCAATAAGCAAGAAGTTAATTAATAGACTTATGTTTTAGACTGCATATTGCCTGTTTTTGCTCAATTTCGCCAACAAAAATAAATCCAAACACAGCCACAGCACTATTTTGCGTCTCTGAGCAACATGATGGTGTTTCATTCCTGAATGAATCACCCGTTTAAATGATTCAGTTCAATCGCAATGACTCACTTGTTAACAGAGACTTGCTGCCACCTACTGGAGGTTTTAATTTCACATTTAAAGTATCTTTTCATTTTTTTAATAATTTCAAACATCAGTTGCCAACGTTTTTTGTTTAAAATATCAAAACATTATTTATGCATTTGTAACTGCAGTTTAAAGCATTACATGTAGAGGTCTTCTAAATCTGTACCCGACCCGATTCAACCCGAATCACTTCTTACCCGAACCCGACGTGCATAAATTAATTTTTTTTAAAGAAAAACCCGACCCGAGACAGACCCGATGAAATTAGACCCGAGTCCGACACGACCCGACGGCATTTATTTTCGAACCCGACTGGACCCGAACGTAAACGGCATTGACGTGTGTACAGCCTGCAGCCCCGCAGTCAGTCAGGAAAAATCCTGGTGTCCTGTTGACTGATTTGGCCACTTCTCCATTACTTTGATTTATTTAACATTTATTCAATTTATTATTAGGTTACTTTATATTAGTGCCAGCCTGATGAATACAAGGTATTTCTGAGCTCCGCTTTCAATTGTGACCAGTGGATTTGAAAAATAAACGTGATAGTTTGATAAAAAATAAATCGATAGCCTAATC